GTTGTTTACTCCGGCTTCTTGTGGAAGCGCCCTCTCAATATACACTTCCATAAATTTCCTGTAATTCATCCATGAGTTAAAGACTCTTGCATTGAGTATCCAAACCTGCAGTTACGTTTATTTACAAAGCTACACAACATATATGCAAACATGATTAGGATAAAATATTTATAATGATATGATGTAATTATAGTTGGAAAATGGTGTATTGGTTGATTACTTACTGTGGGCAGTTCCAATAAGCATGAATTGGCCAAAAAGATCCATATAGTGAATAGAAGCTTGAATGCCAACCATTTCAGATTTGCACGGCAAAAAGGACACGGTGATTTCTTTACACAAGAAATGCTACTTTGCCAAAAAGATAGGTAACAACTGAATCCATAAAGTGATCACTTCTGCTTCGGTACACCCCTCCCGGTGCTAAACACATCAACGGTGGAGATCTCTTCATACCCCGTCATAATAAAGGCTAGGTTGGTCTTTTTTAATAGCATGCAGTCCGTACCGAGCTCGATACGCGGCCTATGCATGTAACGCCCCTGGACCAACCCATTTTACATTTTTGTCCCTCTTCTGTAAGACCTTCAAAAAATAAGTGCCCAACGAGATTCAAACACGGCACCTATACCCTTAGTACAACCGTGGTAACCAACCACACTATTTTCTTGTTGTGTCTGGTCACCTTCTTTTTTTCTTCTTTAATTGTAACCCTAACCAACACAAGTCTACTTGGATTTTTTCGGTTTTTGTTTGTCCAATTTTCTTCTATTTTTTATTTTTCTCTTTCTTTATATTTTTATCTTTTTTTTAAATTCATGAATTTTTCCTTAAATCTGTGTACTTTTCAAATTCCTGCACTTTGTTTTCAAATCCGTGAATTTTTTTCCAAATCCGTCAATATTTTTTCAAATACATGAACTCTTTTCAGCTTTTACAAACTTTCCTTTAAAGCCCGCAATTTTTTTCAAATTCAAGAATTTGTTTTATGAAAATTGATGAACTTTTTTTAAATCCATGAATGCTTGGGGCGCCCCCACAAGTGCCCGACGGGAGTGATGCAGTCGCCTCTTACATTTCATAAACATTTTTCTAAAAAAACATGTACAACTTTTAAACATGCGAGTCTTTTTCAAATATCACGATCAATTTTTTAAATGCTATGAACTTTTCTACAAATAATTCGAACATTGTTTTATATTTTCATGAACATTTTATAAAATTTCACAAAATATTTAAACGTGTGAACATTTTTGTAAATATACGATTTTTTTGGTTAGATGATATGAAATATTTTTAAAATTAAGTTAACAAATTTGCACTACACTTTTTTTAATACACCGTGATTTTTTTTAAAAAATTAAGTAAATGCTATGTCTAGTTACCCTGAGACGGTACTAGCGCTCGCCTATAGAGTTCGCTCGAGTGGGCTAGTCCATTAGGAGCTGTGCACGTGTTTTTTTTTTCCGAAGCTTCCCTGGACCGGCACAGACCGGTGTAGGAACCTTCCGCCCAGTATTGGGAAGGTTTTGCAAGTTTATTTTTTATTTATGTTTTTATCAGTTTATAATGAATTACTTTTTTTCAGTTTTCTCTTTTCTTTTTCTTTTTCAAATTTTCAAATACATGTCAACTTTCTAAATTCAAGTTAATCAGTTTCTCTATATAGGCTGGACATTTTCTAGACACATGTTAAATATTTTTTTCAAATACATGATGAATATTTATCTGAATACATGTTGACCATTTGGGAAAAGCTGACTTCTTTTAATACCCGATGAACATTATTAAACACAGGTTGAACTTTTTCAAAATCTTATGATTTTTTTAAATTGTGCAAACATTTCAAAACAGTTTATGAACATTTATTGATAGAAGTTTGCGAAGTTCAGAACATGTATTCATTTGAAAGTAAGTTCACGGATTTAAAAAAAACTTCACAAATTCAAAAAAAGGAAGAAAAAAAACTTCACGAATTTAATAAAAAGAAAAATAAAATAGAAAAAAATACGAAGAATAAAATGCGAAACAAAACAAAAATAAAATAAAACCAGACCGAGAAGATGCCAACAAGAAGAATAAAAGAAGTAACTAGGCACAAAAAGTGAGTTGTCCCAGTTGATTACAACGGGTGAAAGTAGGCCGCACTTTAAGATGTTTTAATAGTAATTTAAAATGTCTTATATTTATTTACTGAGGGAGTATAGATTAACCAGATTATTTGGCTACTAAGGGACCTATGCCCCCCTCCCCCTAAAATTCTAAAGCATGGCCTAAAAGTTCATTTTTTTTTCTACCGGTATAAGTTTGTTGGCTTTCAGGACGCGCTACTGGTGAAGAGCAAGACGCAGTTTGACAAGACTATGAGGTACACGACACCACCGACATCATTTGGGGCAACACCAAGCTGTTCTCCAGGGTTGTCACATTTTAGTTCTCAAGCTGATGCTTGCGAACTACAATGTGGTGACCGATAGGGTTGCAATTGACCAGACCGTGACATTGGCAGCGTGAGGGCATGTCAACAACGAGGACCTCAACAATATTGAGACGTAGCTTGATCGCCCGTGGATGAACCACACCCATGTCATGTTTATGCAGAGTTACCTCGGCGAGCTCATGGAGGGTACGGGCTGGGTGGATTGGAAGGGCTGGGCGCCCTTAAACAAGGATGATCAGGTGAAGTTGGCCGTCGTGACGTTCACCTGTAATACATGGAATACAGCAGCTATGACCCCTGGCTACCTCCAAGGTGAAGCGTTGCGTCAAGTGGAGTGGCTGTCACCGCGTCATCCATGCGCGTGATGCTGCCAAGTACACCGTCGAGCGCTTCATCACCGGAAACCAGTGGTTGCCTGACCGCCAGGTCTTCTTCAAACCTGCAAGTAGCTAACTGGCTCAATCGCTCAGCAGCCAAGTGACTAGTACAACCTGCTCCGGATTATAAGACATTTGAATATTTTAATATAAATTATATATGGACTGAAATGAACGAACAAACACACTAAAATGTGTCTATATATAACCGATTTAGAAAAAAATAGAACATCTTAGAATTCAGAATGAAGGGAGTACGTCGGTATGCGGTATGATAACATAACGCTCCATAATGTGGACATGAATAGTGTGAGGTGGGGTGGGACCAAATCCCCACGGGCACATAAGTTCTGATTTTTGTTTCTCACCCCATCTGATAGGTGTGGCCCGTCAGGCTTATTTTTTAAAATGTCACGTCGCCCGGCCATGTTGTCCACATAGTTGTTGCCCACGTGGCAGTTGCACGGGTCAACTGTATGCCAACTAAGTGAAATGTGTATGTCAAGTCATACTAGCGACCATATTGAGGCGCTTAAGCTACTTTAGTAATTGTATTTAGGGTACTCTGAAGTACAATGACCAAAGTGAGACACGGACTCGAATCCA